GGTTATCCACCCATCCCCTGGTGGGCTTAGTTTAAAGCCCAGTTGAGCAGATCAGCCAGTCTGGCTGAGAAGAGCCGCCTCCTCAGCGCAGTGAGGTGGAGGTCATCTCTTCCCAGCAGACCATGGCCTCCCTCACCAAAGAGCGGACTGTGATCGTGGAAGCCAAAGCCTTTACGATGACAGCAGCACCGCAGTCTTTGTTTGACTACCTCAATCCTCCTCTCCCTTCTCAGCCCATAGCCTGAAACTGGGAGGATCGAGGAAAACACCTGTGCCCCCAACCCCTTAAGCCCTGCTCCCAAAACCCTGTAGCATCTCATGATCCAGCTGGGATTGCTCTGAGCAGTGTCATTCATGCCCACGTGGATAAGGAGCATAGGGTAGTGGTCAGTGGGCCGAATGAGTTTTGGGATCCTCTAGGCCATGTCCTAGATGCGGGCTCTTGGAAAGCAGCAGACCTCTTGAGCTAAGGGGTAGGGGCAGCAGATTGTGCCCTCAGTCCCCCACAGGAGGGAGTCTCCCACATTGACCACTCTACAAGTGGCCTTAGGGAGAGCAGGGATAGCAACTGTGGGTGGGCCTGCGTTGCCTGCAGGAGCTGGCAGCTCTCCAGGCTCTACAGGGGCTGCATGAGGTTCGTACCTGTTGCAAAGCTCCAGAGGGGCAGGGACCTTGGTGCAGCAGGCCTTGGGGTAAATGGTTGCTGACCCCTGTCTTACACTTATGACTTGTGAGGAGCTACAGGGCTTTGCAGCCTAGAGAAACTTTAAGAAACAAAACCTGAAATCCCAGAACATTAAAATCCCATGCGTGAGTATGTGCATGTATATGCCTATAAGTGTGACATTTTTTTAGATGCAGTCAGTGTTGGGCTCCAGGTCTATTGCAAAAGGTACCCATCTGTGTAAGGCTGTATTAGATTTGATCAAAACACAGTTCTCAACATCTGTTTAAAACTGTTTAAATCTTCCCAGGTAATTTAGATCCACGTTGCTAGGGCCCATGCCCTCCCCTTCGGTGTTCCTTTCCCTGGCTAGAACCCAGCCAGGAACTTTATTTGCTGTCACGATATGTGCAGAAAAACTGGTTACCTGTGACAGAAATAGGAGTTTATTGCCTGTCAGCTACTCGTAAGGAGTTTTCTGTGCTCACGCTCTTAATCCATGGTAGATGAAAGCTAAACCATCCTTAATGAAAAAGAAATAAGTTACTGTGTCCCCAGGCAGTTCTAATAAAGTGCTTGACACATGCTAAATCCCTACCTCTTTCCCCTGATCCCATGGCAATTAGTTTGTCTTCCCATGCTCTAAGAGCCCCTGGTGCTTTTAAATAGTATTGAGAAGTTGGAAATCTCAGCAGACTGATGAAGTTCTGTGAATGCAGTATTTTATTTTTAAAAACCACATCAAGATTCATGTGGCTTCTGTGGCTCTTCAATGTGATTGCATCACATTCTACAGGAAATTCATAGAAAATGGCCTGATTAGCTTGACAGTTTTGAATCCAACCGCTTATGCTGAACTGGCCTTAGCATTCTTGATGGGAATCCATTCACGATCTTCCCAGATTTTAAGGCCAGAAGGATCATCTAGTCTGCCCCCAAGAATTGAATGAACCAGAATGAAATGAACCAGAGAATTCCACACATTTTGCCCCTGACATCACATTTTCTGATACAGTAATGTTAGTAAGCTCTAATACTCTGTTTTCCTGGCATGTAGTAAGAACTTCCTGAATGTATATTGAGTTAGATGGAGGCTGGCCCCAGACCTAGAGAAGGGTAATATGAATTAAACTGCCCCAGGAGAAGAACTGTATCTCTTTGCACATAAGCTATGTGTGCTGTTTGCTCCTTCCTCCCAGTGCAGAGGGGGACTATTCAGAAGATACTACAGAGATATATGTAAAATGAGAGCAAGAATAGAGCAAGAGGCATTTTGAGCTCCTGTCCACGTGCATCTAGCTGTGAATGACAAGGAAAGGTTTTTACCTTTTTCGAGCCTTTGTGTTTAAAATGTGACTGAAAACTGGCATGGAATGATAGGGAAAAATACACGGGTCAACTGGAATGGGAGAAATAGGACTGTCAAACTTGATTGAAAAGCTGTGTCTATTGTCTAACAAATATGTATTTATTTGTACATCTGCATCTTTCAAGAGCCAGCTTGTTGCTTTTTTCAGTGTAATTCAGCACTTGTGATCTGGGGAAGTATGTAGTAGTCTGCTGATGTAATTCACTTAATTGGCAGGGAATTAACCTTGTATACAATTTGCCTAAGGACAAGTTATGGGAAGTTCCAAAGTCTTCTCACAGATCTCTCCCAAGCGTCTGCATGGTGCACTTTTTCTTGTTCCTTCTACCCCTATCAGGCTGAAGCAAGAATTCACATATATTGTTGGTGGCCCCTGGGGCAGCATCCCACTTCTGAAGGTGAAATCTTGATTTTATTTTTGGCTAGCGTGGGCTGTTTTCATATTCCATGCCATCTGGAGAGGACCATGTGCTAGTGTATTTAGTGTTCTATTATGTAGCAAGTATTGTCTTGGGATATTTAATGGGCCAGTGGTAGAAAATTTTAGCAAAACAATTAGGAAAAAATTTTCAAAGTTACACATTGCATGTAGCCCTCCAATTCACATTGCCCATCACCAGGTATTAGATACCTAACTGCTTTCTCTTTTTTTTTTAAATCTTTATTTGCAAAAAAGTGCATATAAACATGTTTATAGAATTATTTTTTTCTTTGATTTAAGATTAATTGCAATCTGCCTCTTGTAGTGGTTTAAATGTTTCCCTGATATACTACAAAATCCAGACAAGACAGGCTCTTTCCTACCAACTCTCCCCCACCAGCCGAAAATGCAGGACTCAGAAGTACAAACCCTTTACTAAAAAAAAATAGGACCTGGAAGTGAAACTTAGTTATAAATGCAAAGTGAAGCTGTTTAGGCTGGGAGAAATGCAAACAAATAAATAAACACACTGCAGAAATAATAAAAAAAGAACTTGCTCGTTAGGATCGTCCTCTTTTTGTTCTGAAAGCTGTCATTCGAAACATAGAACAGTAGAGATATTTAACAAAACCAGCCCTGGCTCACTTAGGGGAGCACATTACTTGACAAACCTGCCTTTTCCCCTGCCTGGGAAAGGGGCAGGCTATCAATAGACAGCCCCTAGAATTTAAATAGCTTTGTGTACAACCCAGACGGGCTGCACATGGGGTGGTTTAAAGCCACAGCCACAAGGAAGCAGGGCCAGGCCAAGCATTCCCAACCCCAATCCTGGGTCCCAGTTACCAGCTCCCTGGCTTTTAAATCATCACATGCATGGGCAGCATGCAGGGCATTTAAAGTCTGTATGGCTATGAACTGGGATGGGGAGAGGTTCCCCACTGACTTCCAGCCCCACAAGCTGTGGTATCTCCACCCACAGTACTGAGAGCTGGGGTAGAGCTGGCTCATTGGCTTTGATGTTGTCCCCCATGCCACTCAGCTGGGCAGCAGGGATGACATTTAAAGCCCAAGGGACATTCTCCCTGAGCCTGTTCCCAGTTCCCTGGACTTTGCAGGGATGGTAAAGGGAAGCCAAGGGGAGCTGGCAAAGCCCCTCAACCTCTTCCCCAAATCTGGCAGGCCTTTGTTTAGGGAAGGGGCAGAGAGCAGCAGAGTAAAGCTCCTTGCCCACTTCTTACACCAGGGACTCTGGTGTGAGAAGCAGACAGAGAGCTTGCAGCTCTGCTTTCTCTATTTGTCTCTTGCTGCTTGGGAGCTAAGTGAATTAAGTAGCACCACAGTCCATCTGCCCACTCTGCACATGGGGTGCCCCAATATGTGAGGAACCAGTGGGGAGCAACTAGCAACTGCTCCTCTCCTTCCCTCTCAGTCCATGGGAGGGTGGAGGCAGCTGTCCCCTACACCTTCTCCAGACTGCAGTGTCCCTGGTCTCTGGAAGGCATTAGAGGTTTTCACCATAGCTCAACTTGGGAAAGTGTACAAGTGTTCATTCTCCCACAAGAAACTCTTCCAGGAGTGACTTCTAACTGGCTGGAGTTAGTTTATTTTTGTCTGGGAGAAACAGCATTTCTCCCAGTAGGAACCTAATGCTTGTATGCACCCACAGATGAAGTTTTATTTAACATGATTCCATTGTCGATCTCTCTAATCAAAAGGCAATGAACAGTAGATGATTTCTTAGTCTCATCAGTGTCATGCAAGTTGCAGTGTTACAAACATTCTTCCCATGAGCACTTATAATGGAGTATTGCACAATATAAAGCACTTCTATTGGGGATAAATTTGGTCTGCTGTATCGCCTTATTAAACCCTTGTTTTATCTGAACTAACATTTAAGAAAAAATAAAAGGCAAATTAGGATTTTGAATGGCGGCCCCAGCTACAGCTGCCAGACCACCGCACAATCATTAGGCTGTTTGGGAACTCTGCCTGGCCTTGTTGCCAAGATGTACAGAGACCCACCCAATCCTGAATTAAAGTCATTGCAGACTGCTGGTCAGATATAGGGTGGAAGGGGGAGTTTCAAATACAAACAGAGCTTGGTTGCTGATTGGGAACAGCACTTGTTTCCTGTTTTGTTACACAGGTATCTGTTTTTCCTCTGTTAACTTGTTTTGTCACATTTTCCCAGCTTTATTGGTAGGTTTAACACTGTTGGGGGAAATGGGGTACATGAGTTAAAGTGCTTACATAAATAAATGTATTTAATTAATTCTGAACAGCATCATGGGAAAAGTAAGTCTCCTTTCTTGGAAAATGAGAGAAGGCAGGAGTGGCAGGCCAGCAGGGAAAGCAAAACACCCTGTGTTCAAGCTAAAATTTTAGAGTGAGATCCAGAAAGACACTTGAGATGCCTCCAACTAGGGTATCTCATTGTCAAGGTAACAACTGATGACTCTCCCAGCAGGGAGAATCCTACCATCTCCTCCCCAGGAGTATGAGTTTAGTTTGCAGAACTGGGGCACATTGTCAGAGCTCTGCAAGACACCCAGGCTGCCTCCAAATGTGGGTCGGGGGGAGGCGGGGGATGGCACTTTAAACTCATGTGCTATCATGCTGAGCCCACTGCATGCCCAAAAGAAAGAGCACATTAGTTGCACCCAGCTTTCCTAATGTCTGTAAAGATTGGGTGCTTTAGTGGGGGGGGGGTTGGCACTTTTATCTAATAGCTGATTGAATTAGCTATTAGATAAAAGTACCAAAAAGCTCCGCTGAAGTGCCCAATCTATCCAGACACTGCAGAGCTGGGTTCAACTAATGCACTACTGCTTCCGATAAAGTGCTTTTTTTCACATCTGTCAACGCCCTCTATTAACAATGATTTTAACCAAGAAGCAGCCTTTCATTCGTACTCTTCTTCATGCTTTCCATTTTCATCTTTGTCTTTCTCCTTTCATTTGATTCTTCCTTCCCAGTCTTTTTGTTTTTCCTCTTTTTTTCCCCCTTTTTCATTTTTACCATTTGTGCTCTTGTTTCTACCACCTTCTTACTTCCCCAGTCTTCCTCTCATCTTCCCCAGTCTATTGATAGTTACATATCACTAGCCATTTGGGAGCATGCATGCGTCTATCACTAAATCAGATTAATAAAGAATGGGGGGGAAAAAAAGAATAATGGACTTCTTAAATTTCTGGAGTCTGTGTGAGCTTTAAGCCAATCCTATTTGAGTCTTCAAGATCTTATTTCCAACCAACTCCATTTTCTTCTATGTTGGTCACCAACAAGCTGCACAGACATACCAGATCTTCTGCTGGCTGCTTTGAATGTGTTTTAAGGCAAACTCAGTGCCAGGTAGGCAATATAAATTTGCTGTTGCTTTTGAGTATGGGTTTGCTTAAATGACTTTGGCCTATTTGTACAGTAGTGGGGATTCATTGCACACATTTGAGGATAACAAGAAGCTGTAGCTTGATGACATGTTGCAATAAAGTCACTGGAATTAGGAAAACACATTAATTTAGACCATTTTGAATGAATCAAGCAGAATAATTTATTGAATTCTTTCCAAAGACAGGCCTGTTTAATTAACCATTGTTTATTTTTTCCTTGGATTGACAGAAGCTGGTGACAAGCGAATATGGTGGCCTTGCCAGAGCATGTGTCCTCAGCTTCCTTACCTTTAATGTGCCACAGATCACAGTGGAAGGAGAAAAATATGTTTTCTTTTTCTCCTTGTATGGCATTTCAGTGTAGTTTTGTTCTTGTTAGCTCTGTAACTCCTGCCCAGGAAGGGAAGGCATTCAGCCTGGTGTGGGCACTGGAACTGTTTATTTTATCATTAATCTATTGTAGGATTCACACTAAAAAGATTCCCTTAAACAGGGCTGAAACAACAACATTTAACAAAGCATGACAGGATGACTCAGCGGAGGAACAGGACACAAAATCAGTTCCCATATAAATTGGTATTTGCTGGCTTTCCGGTGCACTGTGTGGAATAAGTTGGTGGTTTCAGCCCATTTCTTAATTAATAGTGTCCATATCACAGAAACAGCATGCCATTTGGCCCTGTATTGCCAGAATAATTGGAGAGGCCAAGGGCCAAATTATTATTAATTATGATTTGTTGTGCATAGTTGTGCATAGTTTGAAATATTTTATTTGGACAATTCCTGACCAGCATTTCTCTTAACTCTATTTTTTTCCCTTTTGCACACACACTTTTCCAGAACACTATTGCTACTCCTTCTGGTAGTTGTGGGTATTTGGCATAGTAATCAATTGTTTTGGGACTAAGCAGCTTGATAATGGATGGTGCACAGAAAGGTAAGGGGAGGGTAGAAAGGGTGATGGGGGGCCTTGCAAAGTGAAAGTCATGTGCATACTATCATGTGCTGTCCTTGTGACCATAGTGAGAAGGGCCTATGAAAGGAATTGTCAAACGTATGTACTGTGAGGTGGCTTTGGTTTTCATCGCCTTGCTTTATGGGTTTGTTAGTCGCATTGTGCTTGTCAGAGATCAAACGGAGTGTGTGTGTATTAATTTATTAGGGTTTCTTAGTGTTGGAGTGATGCTGTAGTCATGATGGTTCAGAAAATATGAGAAACAAGGATTTTTGTGGGTGATATATTTTATTGGGCCAGCTGCATGGTTTGGGTAGACCTAGACATGCTTTGAAATGCAGTGCATGCTCCTTCAGGTCTGAAGAAAAAGGTTTAATAGGTAGTAGGAGAGAGTAGGGTGGGCATACTTCCCAAGCTGTAGAAGTACAGCTGTGTTGATTTTATCCACCAGCAGCTACATGGGAACTTTTCTCTGTGGTAGAGTAAAATCCAACAGAAGACCGTAGCTCTTCCCAGAGGAGATGTGGTAGGCTCAGTCCTATCAATCAGGTTCCTCCTGCCCAGCCTCTAGCCATTGGAGTTGTGTGGACAATACCTAAACTCTCACTTGTAGTAGCTGGAGCAGCTGAAAGTGCTCCAAGTCTAACTTTGTAAAAAACTCCTTGCTGCACCTGTTCGCCTGAAGAGCCTTCTCATTGCCACATTGCACAGCTGGACAATGCATATAGTAATCACTAATCACATTTCATACAGAGCCCAACTTAGAGACTTTCCACTAAAGATATGTGAAGAGTAACGTAAGGGAAAATGCACAAGAAATTAAACATATCTGAACATTGATCTGGTGTGGGGCCTGCTTCAGGGGTCAACGGCACCCAGCATGAGACCTCACCCCAAGGAGCACTTGTGGGCTTTTGGAAAGATGGGGATATATGGCTCACTTTGAGCCCATTTTAGAATGCAGTCGTCACTGTGGAGGCTCCTCACTTGGTTCCAGACTATTGGATTCAAGAAGCGTGCTCATGTACCACTGAACAGCTCTACTTCTGTTACGAATAAATAGGGAACTACTTAATTCACTGAATCAACAGCAAAAAATTTAATAAAAAGGAAATGCTGGCTCCCCAATAGGAGCCAGTGGTCCTCGCTGCCAAGAGGTGATGGCACTAGCTGGTGGGGCAGCGTAAAAGGCAGCAGACAAGATAGTGGCTGGCCTCTTACCCCTCCTTCCCCTGCTGGGGCCTCTCCACCAATCAGCACCAAGGGGTGGGGCAGCACAAAGGGCAGCCAGCAGTCAATATGGCAGCCTCCTCGTCACTCCTCCCTTTTGGGGTCTCTCCGCCAATCAACGCCATGGGGCAGGGCCACAATGAAATGCCTGCAAAATTGGCTCTGCACACCATGAGCAGGCTGCAAAAAACCCTTTGTCTCACTACAGTTTAACTGTGTCCCTACTAATAAATAACCTTCTCTGCTAGTAGGCTCTGTCTGTTCTTGTTGGGATCAGTCACCTGATGGTGCAGTAATACTGGGGAGTCTTATTTGCTTCTGTGTCCAGTGTAGAAGACCTGCTCTCTTGGAAGCAGACTTTTAAGAACTTTGGATTATCATTTCTGTCAGGGATCTGGAGTATATCCTCATTGGTTTTCCTGGACCTCTTTCACATGCCTTCCATAAATTACACGTTACTGCAATTACAGTTCGTAGTTGCAAAACTAATAGCCTCCAGCTGCAATGCAGAAACTGAATTTTGCTGTGATGGAGGTGAAGGAGAAGGAGGTAATTTTACTAGTAAAAATAAAATAAAACAACCAAATGTATTTTGTATGTTCCATGTTTACTTTACAAAAATAGCAATAGTAATAATATTAACAACAACATTGACAAAGGCCAAAATGGGGAACACCAGGTTAGTGATAAACATGTGTACATACACAATTGATACGCAGATGGGTACAAAATGACATTAAAACATAGTTTCCCAATTACTTTAGATCATAGAGTACCTTTTAGCTTAATTGAAAGAGAGATCAGGTTTTCATCTGTTGACTAACATGAGTTAAGATCTTATTACCAAATATCACAGGAACCCCTATCCAAAAACAGCCTTCATGGCTGTTCAGAACTGCCACAGATTACACAGCCAGGGAATTTTTTCTCCACCGCTTCACATTAAAACCAGAGCAATCTCTACAAATCATGAAGGAGATTACCAAAATACTTTATAGACCTTAAAACTCCTATGTGATTTAAACCAAAAGTATTAACTTTAAATATAGAATTCTGTTCCTTAGCAGCTATTACTTTGGGTTTAAAATGAAAAAAATAATCCTACCACACATCAAACTCCAATTACATCATAATGAATATATGCCCTGCTTTTTACTTGTAGGGTTTGGATCTTAGTTTGGGTTCCTCAAAAGTTTGATCAGTTGAATTTCTTCCAGCCCCCATTTCACAGCTCACTAGTTCATACAGGGAGTGCTTTTCTTTGTGTTTCTTCCAAAAGAGCTAACAAAAAGTTGTAAGGAATTACTAGCAAAGTGTGTGCTGTTATTTTGGAATTAGAGTTTATGTGAGTCATCCCCTTCACTGAAGCATCTTCTTATGTCTCTTTGTAAGATCTGCTTATCTTCATCATCATATTCCTAATAATGCGAGAAAATATAGGAAAGTGGGACCACTGGCTTCTGCTGCCTGTGATTTGTTTATCTTTAGCTAGAGTAGGTGCACTGCTCATAAATGAATGCAAATTATATTTACAATTCCTAAGTCAGGCTTCCTTTTAAGCCAAAATTGAGATGCAGAAGAATTGTAAGAGGAAGTAAAGTAAGTCTGACCCAACAATCTGTACCAGTGACAGTATTATAGAACAGCTATAATATTAAAAAGAAAGCTTATCATGTCCAAACAGCCAGAAACTGTTCAGAAGCAGCTGATTATATTTTTATTAGCATGATTCAGAAACACATTTCAATGAGGCAAGGTTGGTTTGCTCATATTCTCTGAAAAGTTGCTTCTATTTAGCTTCTTTGGGGACGAGGAGTGGAGCTATAACTTTTGAGCTGTAGTTGAATGAATGAACAAATTACTGTTTTTTAGAAGTTAAGAAAAGAAACTGGAACAGAAAAACAAGATTTAATTCTTCATACTTTGTACCCAGTGGGTGTGTCAGGTAATGCACAGTAAGGCTACTGTGCAGTAACATAAGGTGCAGTAAGCTGCACCTGGGAATCTGTCTACATGTGTGCCCTGTTAGGTGCAGATTTGCTCCCAGTGGCAGCAGCCCAGTCCAGGACTGCTCTTACCCTGCTCTGCCCCCCTGCACCAGCCAGACTCCCCTGGGTGCCAGTCCAGAGGCTGGCAGGGGACATAGAGGCTGGTCCTGATATGCACAGGTTGAGAGACCTGTGTTGCTTGTAGGGGCAGCTGTCTCCCAGCACCATGTACATGGGGACAGGTCCTGATGTGCACGGGGCTGGGAGATGTGTGGGACTGCAGCAACAGCCATCTCCCAGCCCTGTGCACATGGGGACCATCCCCATGTGCACAGGGCCAGGAGACAGCTGCCCCTGCAGCTGGCATAGCTCCCTCTGTATGGGGGCTTAGTCAGGCAGCATTGGCCCCCTGCTGTCTGGACTGACCAGGAGCAATTTTGTTCCAGTCACCATCTACACGTGTGGTACCGCAGTGTAGGTAGTACATGGCTAATCTACCACCTGGAACTATAGGTAGTAGCCAATCGCACAGTTGACTAATTTAGTGTGCAATAAATGCCACGCATGTGTAGGTGGTGATGCTTTACTGTGCAAAAGATTAGCTGGACTACCAGCTAACAGGGACTGACAGTTGGGATTTCTGTGTTCTTTGTTCTACTGCTGTCTTGCTGTGAAGTCTTGGAAAAGTAAATCATTTAACTTTTTAATTAAAATTTTTTCTTTAGTGATACTTTTCTGCTTACCTTGTTGGACTGTTGTGAAGGTTGCAGATGGGTAGAGCTAGATGTGTAGTAAATTATTTTAAAAGGTTCACATTTGAATGCAACGATGCAGACAGAATACATTGAAAATTGATGGCTTGTACCCTTCTGTAAACTTAGTTAACTACCAGGATGGATAAAACCCAATAATTGAAAACAGTTAAAAATACAGTTTTTAATTTAACTTAAATATTTTTTATTTAAAATAAACCTCTGTAAAGTTAAATTTGAAATCCCAATAACCTTTACTGATTCTTTGAACTTGCAAATTATTTCAGTTAGATTTGAAACAAAAATTAAGCAGTAGATCTTTACTGTTTAAAATTTTTAAGGAAATCAAACCTCTAAACTGAAGCTATTGCTGAGCACTTGACACCTTAGTATATGGAAGAGTTAATGCACCTTTTGACAGCGGTGGCTTCCACTGTGGGTGCGGAGAGAATATTGTCTTCATTTGTATTTGTTCAGCTGGTTTGGTTCAATGACTGGTTCATTCAAGGTTAAAAATGGATTAGAAGTTGGTAAAGCAGGCCACCATGCTTTAAAGCCACAGGCCACCATGACTGATAACAAGAGCTTCTCCCCAAGGGCTTTATTTCATTTAAGTCATTGTTTAAACAGTTACCAATCAATGAGCATCACCCTTTTTAGGCAAATTTACAAATGTAAACCAGAATATAGAAAATGATTTGTCCTGTTTGCTGATATTAATTGTGATTAAAATTAATTATTGAGATCATTTTGATATAAAACAATCCATCATGGTAACCAGCCAAATACATACTAGATAGAGCCTTGCAAAGCATTGGAATCATTTCCTGTTCTGAATAAAAATATGAAGCATCAATATTTTCAAAAGTCCAGAAACTAAACACAGGGAACAAATTCAAAGCTCAGAAGGATATTGAACAGTGGCTTTGAAGAACCAGTCCTGCTGCAGGAAACATCTGTCCCTTCAGATCATGTGTTAGCTGTTGGAACAAAAGCATTTGATCTAAAATCCTCTCTCAAGTTCCAACCATGTAGGACTCCTGTGTGAAATGCAGACTAGATTGGCCTTTTCCTGTTGAGTCCCAATATTTGGACTCCATCAGTTGACCAACAAGTGCCTCATTAACAGCAATTTTCAAATGTTATCTCAAGAATGGCCTTGGAAGATAAAAAAGGGACATTACATATAAAACAGCAGAACACTAGGGAGTGAATTTAATAGTCATCTTCTACCTTTCCATGTGGCATCTGATCTACAACTGGCTTTTAATATAAGGAATTAATAATTTACATTATATTCCACTATTTTGCCAGCTAGTTCTCATGCCAGTGTCCTTGGAAAGAAGTATCTCTAGTCTTGCTGGATCCCAGAGGGATTCCCTTCTCCTCTGCATCTTTCTCCTCCCTCCATCCCTCCTTTTGAGCCATTATCTGTCCAGCTAAAGAGGACTTGATGGGGTACCAAATGTGTAAAGTAGATCTATATAAGATGTTTCGTTACTCTTGATGCTGAGTGCACTTTCTGGAGAGGAAGAGGGAACAACAAATCAGGTTGTTATCCCTCAAATCCAGAATTGTGGTTGTGCCTAATGCTTGCTGCTTCAGAGACGGGTAGAAAATCTGTAATACAACTACCCTGCTGTGCAATGCTGTAAAATAGGGATAATTCATTTCCTTCCTTCTTTTGCGAGCAATCATTTTAGAGATAGTAAAGCCTCCAATTCAATTAGCTAGGCCTCTTGTTGGAAAGAGAATGGTGACCAACTGTTCTCTGTGGCAACAGGGGGCAGGACAAGAAGTAATGGGCACTTATATACATACCTTTTCACGCTGTGACGCACCATATTTGACGCATTGGAGCAGACTCAATCGCAGGCTGACACACACTGCGCTGCATTGCAGACAGTTGTATAAGCAGCAAAATGCACGTCAGCACACAGAAAATGGCGGCAGTGCACTTTTGAACTAAAACACAAAGGTGTTTTAGTTCAAAAGTGTGCCACCGCCATTTTCTCAGTGCTGACGCACATTTTGCCATTTATACAAATGCACACACCACAGCACAGGGCACCTTTAAAACCTCCCAGTGCTGCAGTGCAAGCATGTGTATAAATGCCCAATGGGCTTAAATTGCAGCAAGAGAGATTTTGGTTGGATATTAGGAAGAACTTTATAACTATGAAGGTGGTCAGGCACTGGAATAAATGACCTCAAGATGCTGTGGCATCTGTCACTGGAAGTTTTTAAGTGCAGTTTAGACAGACATTTGGGTGGAGCTGTTTAGATACAGATGTTCCTGCCTTGAGCAGTGGGTCGCACTAAATGACCTCCTTCTGTCTTTTTTCAAGCCTGTTTTTCTATGAATCTGTGAAATGTTGGGTTCTGCCTTTCAAGCTTATCACCGTTACAATATCCCCTCCTTTTAAAGACAGCAAACCCCCAACTGTGTGTGGCTAGAAGTAGTATTAAAAGAACTAATATGATTTATATTAATTTTTCAGAAACATAATCTGGGTATTGATCCAAGGCCAACTACACTGTAGGAAACATTTCAAACATTGTGTTGAGAAAGAAATAAAAACAAAGCCAAAACTTTAAAGAATTTTGAATTCAAACACTAAAATTTTAATCAAGTTCCAATTTTTTTCATTTACATTCTGTGAGACCTCAGAAGAAAAATGTTGAATAAAAATGTCCTTTCCTGTCACAAAATTCTTGTGAAAAGGGGAGTCCTTGGAAGGGAGTGTCTTGTGGAAAAAGGAGTCCACCTGTCCTTTGATAATGGGTGAACAGTAACATTTAAGATTAGTTTTGTTCTCTAAGCAACCATGCTGATTACCAGAGGATAGAAAAATAAAATAGAAAGCTTCTGTCTCCCTGACTTGCTTTATTCATTCATGAGCTGCAGAGAGGATACAGCATGCAGACATGTCAGCAACATACAAGGGTGGCTGTCCACTTCATCTCTGGATCCCTACTCACCTCTTCAATCCAATACTGCATCATTTTTGCATTTGGGATTGGTTTAGTCCTGATGTTACAGGGAACAATTTTATCCTCATACTTGGGCAGTAAATCTTGCTTTGTAAATCGGTGGTAGCAGTTGCCCAAAAGAAAGCATGCTGCCTACTGAATCGCCTTCCTCATCTCTGTTAGGAGACTGAGCTTTCCCTGGGCGTCTCCTTTCCAGCCTGACTTATTTCGCTTGTGAGCGTTGACTGAATCACATCCTGGGATAGCACAGTTGATGATAACAGGCATGAAAGACTTCTCTATAAAAAGTGCCCCGTGGCAAGTAGAGTGGATAAGAGCAGTGTATTTTGCTGTGATAAAGTATCCAGAAGCTGTTCCGGAGTAATGGTTAGCTGTTACTTATAAAAATCTTGTCTGGGAATGTCAGAAAGGTGTGTAATCCAAGACTATAGAACATTTTATTAACTGTGGGATTAGACCATTTCTGGTTGATCACTTAAATAAAAAATCCTGTATCACTGTTTCATCGTTCCATGCAAAGCACAGGCTATAAAAACAACCTGTGCTAGGAGCATTGGAACGGGACCTGGATCAGTGTTAATGAAAGCACTTTGGGCAAAAAAAAAAAAGAAAAAAAGAAAAATTGTAAAAGCAGGAACCATGCTCCAAGATGTCAGTTCCTGTATTGCCATTCTACGAGTTTTAACATTGGTGGGGACAGATACCCCAAAATCTTGAAATTAGCTAAAAACCAGGAAATGTATTTTTAAATAATGATATCACAAGGTTTGAGGTTTGGGTGCTGATTTTCGTTTCTGAACTCTTGAGGTTCAGGTATACTGAGAAATGAGATTGTGCTAAGGAATGTGTTGCCCAACACAGTGTGGAACACAATTTCATATTTAACTGGGACAGACAGTCCTGTTTAAAGTCACTGCAGACTGCTGATTAGTACAGCTCAGAGACAGTGCTCACAGAGCTGGTCCTTTAGAGCTCGTAGAGAAAGATTCTGGGGTCTGGGAGCTTTGTTGATAAGGCTCCATCTCTTGCTGTGACAGACATTTTCCCTTTGACTATACACATCACTGGTGTGTGGATGTGTTCAGTGAGTCAGGATGTGTTAAAAGGCAAAATGCTATCATAAAATCCATATGCCAGAATCAGAATCTGGGTCACTCTTCCATTTTCTGGAGCTCCTGTCTTATTTCTGTATAAAACCTTTCCCTTCCTGTCCAGATGCAGGGAATAGGGTACCTAGGTAACCATTACACCTCCAAAAGCATAGTACCATAATAAGTTACTTACTTTTCTTGTCCTTCCCTAGAGCAACAGAAAGAGTATTGTTGGCTTTATGAAAAAGATTTGCTCCATACTCCGTATGCTGTTTCTGGGGAATACCATATGGATGCTATCACTCAAACACATCAATAGTGAAGCTATACAACCACTTCCTTTACCAGTTCATAAAATTATCTACATGTTCTCTGCAGTTGTGTCTGGAACTGATGGAGGGAAAACTAGAAACAGACACACACAGGCCTGATTCTCATTTCCACTAGGGCCCCTTTTAGCACTCTGGTAGCTTAAAAGGGGTTATGGGTGCAAATGAGAATCAGACCCATCAGGCATGGAACACATTGCAGACTTCCCTTTCCTGTTAGAAAGGCCCCTACTCTTGCTGCCCAAACACGTACACTTATGGAGCCAGTCCTTTTATGACAGTGTTGAAAGCATAGTTCCACTTTTTTAATTGCCACATCCTAAAGAGGAGTTGTGTACAGATGAGTGTAGCATAGTTCAATAGATGATTCAGTAACATTTAACATGATGGACCAATAGAAAGCAATATTTACGGACATATTTTATTCCTTATAATGCAGTTAACTTTCATAATTATTGTCCTCCTTGGAAATCTCTTTAAGCAAAAGATTTGAAAACACTTTTAAAAAAAAGGTATTATTCATACATGAATATGACAACTGTCCTGTGAGGTTAAGAAAGATGTAGAGAGAAGGGATGATCTTGTGAGGTAGATAACATGGGGGGGAGGAAAAAAGACCTTGTGACTAAGGTGGAAGAGCTTAATCCCTTTGAAAATCTGGCCTATAGCTTCTACTCAGTTAGTTTTCAAAATTTTACCTATTACCACTCTTGCTCCCCTCCACCCCCAGGCAGTAAATTCATCCTTGTTCATAAGATACTTAGATGATATGGTGAGAGCATCATAGAAATATCTATGAATATATGGAATGTCACCCATCATGGAAGAGTATCTATCGCCAGTTGACAGGGTGGAAATTAGTTGCTGTTTCACTGATTGCAGTGAAACCAGAGAGCATCAGCAATCCCGCTAGTAATCATTTACAAGCCAAGTGACAGGCCCTCAAAAAATCATGAGATTTAAAATTAAAAATACCCTGTTTGGAACTGTTTGTTTAGTTTACGGGTTTTTAACACGTTACATATAATCAGGTCACATTTCCAAGCTTTTCTATGGAACTGTAACCTCGAACTTTGATAAAATTAAAGGTGAGTTTCTCACATATACACATGGCTCCAAGAGACAGAGCTTTAAGAAACAAGCCAAGGATCCTCTGAGATTAAAACTAAAAAAAAATGAAGAGATGGCAGTATGGCAAATTTCTAGCACAGTGGGAAAAAGTTCCATTGCCCTTTGCAAGTACAGGAGATATTTAGGGCGCCAGAGTATAAAAATCCAAATGGGAGCACTAACATCTTTGATCTTATGTAAAGTACCTTGGTATAATAACCACATAATTTTGTAATACAACCCTTGCAAATCACATTGCTGAATTATTATGATATCCCGTATTGTGTCCATAAGCAGGTTTGCAAGCACTCGAATCTCTTAAAGAGTATCAAGATTCAATTAGCTTGTAGACAGAAGTGAGTTAAGGGAGTGTGAGAATTTACTGTGGAGCAGCTGAACCACAGTGAGTGGATGCACATTTCCAATTTTCCTGTGTTAAGTGAAAAATAAATAAGGGAAGCTTAGTGCCCTTTCATTCATGCTTTTCTTTCAAGCTTGCCTTGGTTTAGCTTGTACTGTTATTGCAGGATACTTTTGGGCACACAAACAGATATCCCATCTCAGCTGCTGCAAAGTAATTCTCCACCTCTTGTTAACTTGCTTTAATGAGCTGGTTTATCCATAGGCGTAGGCATTCCATTTCATCAGGCAAATCATTTATTAATGTTTTTAAATGTTTTAAATCAATTATAGCAAGATTTAATCACTTCTTATTCATACAGTCCTCTGAACACTTTGTGGGAGTAGAGGCTTGATAAATATGTTTATTAGGAGAAGATAAGTTTATATACTTTAGCCCCAGAAAAGCCTGAATTACTGTATTTCAAACATACTAAATGAAAGGTCTGGATTTTGTGATATGTAGGTCATCTGGCTTTGATATCACCAAACTGTAGAGATGATCAGGAACAAAATGAGAATGCTGAAGCTAAAGCCTCATTTGGAAATACTGTCTTTCCAGGCTGATATTTTTCCAGTGGCCGTGCCAGCACTCTCTAGTTTGGGTCATCTATTTAAATTGTCATCTCATCGAAGTGTAAATCTTGGCCCAACCCAAAGCCATCTGTTGTAGGTTAAGAGTTGTGATTTATTCTGCCTCTGGCTGACACTTGCTCTAATGAAGCAGATGCTGCCTTTTAGGATTTGTTTTTACTCTTTTTCTTCAGTTTTATTGCTTGCATTTAATATCACAAATAACATTTTCACTTAAGTGTTTTTTGTCTTGTGTTAAAATTGGAGATGAGTAATCATTTATTCCCCCCATTGTGGAATTTGAACATACTTTAGGAATTAAACAAAATAATGTCTGCCTGCCCAACACATCGCATACTGCAAAAAAAATCTTTAAAGAATTGTCTCTTTCTCATTCTTTTCTAATCATTAGTCTTTACACCCATGGGGAGATGTTTTTGTATTACTTTCAAACGAAGGATCAGGATTGTG